TTTTGTATATTTTTGGTGTTTCGTCAGTCAGCTTCTGTCATGAAAGAACTTACTATTGTTATCATGATTAACTTAAATTAGCGAATACTGATTTTTGCTTGCTCTGACTGGTCACCTCTGAGGTCATAAGAAATTTAGGATACTGTACACCTTTTATTAATATTTTCGAGTGATGAAGTATGAAAAAAAAAAAAGAAACGAAAACAAAAACATAAAAAAGCAATTTTATTTAGGGTAGGGCTTTTTGGGGTTATATTGGTTATAATCTTAACTAGGAGGGGTCGTTTTGATGCAATTTGGTATCTCAGATTGCATGTCACAACCATTCAAGCATTGTGCGACGTATTTATTTTATTGATGTGGAACAATTTTCTTTAACGTAGGCGCATGAAAATCTGAACCCTTAACCTTGAAAGTGCAACTATTACAAACTTTTATTCAGTTATAACAAGAAATGCCTTCTTGAGTTGTCCCATGATAAATTTTTTCTGTCATGCAATCGTCCTTAATTATGTATTCGACTCCTAAGCTCTTTATTAGCAGAATTTGTGAGTCATGTCGCGGGATCTATACGGATTCCGCAGTCGCTGGCTTACTCGGTATCTATCGAAGAGGATTGTTAACTGTCTTCTTTTCCAATATTTATTGTCGACGAACACCGCCAACGTTCTAAAAAATTCCTTTTAACAATTCTAACATTTCCTGATCAGACTATTCTATATCATTTCTCTTGTTGTAACAGTTTAAACGTTCTAGGAAACCTAACTTAAACCACAATCTAGTACAGTATTCTTAGTTTGCCTTGCGTAACTACTGGCTAGAGTTTTCCCCTGACAATCACGAGTATAGTAAAATCCCAAGTCAACGCATTGCAATATGCCAGTCTATATTTAATTCTTATTACCCAACAGTACGTTTCCCCTTCCTTATAAGGCGGAGTAAAGGCGAGAAATTAAAAAATCTCACTTACAGCAAATCAAAAAATATTCATTCGGCTTGATGACAATGGATCAAAAATCACATGA